ATAATTTCTAAAAAATAAGATGAATAAATATTATTTTTTTAAAATAATTAGTAAAACTTAAATTTTTTATTAATTCTATTGAAACACTGAAAATTAAGAATAAATTATTAAATTTGAAGTATCAATCCGGGATTCAAAATTCGTTGTTCTCTGGTTCTGAGGATGAGCACAGTAGATTGGTTCTCTTTTTGGATAAATGATTGCTGCAATAAAAAGACAAGAGAGACTGTCAAGTTGACTTGAATTGGGTTCTTTATTTCAACGTTAAGTCCAACACGATGTCTTGGTTGCACTTACATGTTATCCACATGCCTCCATGTGAGGCCACACTATTCAACGTCTCTGATTCTTTTACACTCTTGCATCTTACACCCCAATCAAAGTCTGTCATTGCCAACACATGTAACATCATAGATTGATAAGGGAAAGTAGGTTGGATAATAGTGGTCAATTATTTTTTGACACTAGTGTTGTTTTCACCTCCAAAATTATTAACACCCCATGTTTTATTTTACCCAATCATTATATCTTTTGTGAATAGGATATTTAAATTCAAACAATTCATGAATGGCCCATTTTGGGTTAGTGGCATTAGATTTTGGATTAAAATTGTTTATTTTTATGAGTAATGTGTTCGAATCTCACAAAATTTATTTTATTTTTCTTTCATATATACATGTAAATAATGTTAAAATTGTTCAAAAAAAAAAAAAGATTCGTTCTCAAACTTTAAGATGATTGGGTTAGTTAATTAGAGTTTCGAAGTTTATTATCGTCTTAACAAATCTTCCTCTCCTAATCTTTCAAAATTATAAACTGTTAAAAAAAAAAAATCATTATATCATTTGTGCCTATCCTTATAAATCATATCCTTATAAATCATTTGAATGAAGTTGTATCTCATTTCATAAGTTGGGTTTAACTTCTTCTTCTTCTTCTTCTTCTTCTTTCTTTTTAACTATATTTATAGAAAAAATATCATTGTATCATTTACATTAGATTTCATAAATTAGTTATTAGGTACATTTAATATTTTAATAATAATTAAATTTTGAATAATGGCAATGATATGTTATGCTTCATCCTATACTTTTAAATTGTACTTGTTCAAAACAAAAATACTATATCATTTAATTCATTTAATAAATAAAAAATATAAATTTTTTTTATAAAATTTATAATTGTCTTAATAATTCAAATAATTATATTGTGAATTATACTTTATCATATGTATAGACTGTACACAAAATATATATAGATTAAAAAGGATCTATAACAATAACATATAAAGTTAGGTATTTTTTTAAAATAAAATAATTAAGAGTTAAGAGTCTTTAAATATTAATATATGTCATAAAGATATTCATAGAGTTATATAATAAT